GCGGTGCCAACCGAGTCGGCCCCCGGCCGCTTCGGCCGCGTCTACAAAGGCAATCTCCGCACCAGCACCAAAATCGCCGTCAAGGTGCTCGATCAAATGCTCGACTGCAGCGCCACCCAACTCACCGACAGCTTCAAGCGCGAGTGCGAGGTTCTCAAACGAACCAAGCACCGAAATCTCATCAAAATCGTCACCGCATGCAGTCGTCCCGACTTCAAAGCTCTAGTCCTTCCATTGATGCCCAACGGAAGCCTCGAGCGCTGGCTCTATCAGACGAAGCCGGTGGACCTCAGCCTGGAGTTGGTTGTCAGACTGCTGAGCGATGTGGCTGAAGGAATGGCTTATCTGCACCATTACTCCCCGGTGAGAGTGGTGCACTGTGATTTGAAGCCCAGCAATGTGCTTCTGGATGGAGACATGACGGCGTTGGTGGCGGATTTCGGGATTGCGAGGCTGGTTAAAGGGGTGGGTGACGGTGGAGCCAGTGGCGAGCTTCAGAGCTTGGCGTCTTGTATTTCCACCTCCGGGCTTCTGCATGGTTCGGTTGGGTATATTGCGCCTGGTAAACCTCTTGGATTGATCAAAAATTTTTTTTTAAACAAATTCTCACAAATATCTTTAATGTTCAACGCAGAATATGGATTGGGAGGCCATCCATCCACACAGGGAGATGTTTACAGCTTCGGAGTCTTGCTGCTGGAAATGATCACCGGAACACGTCCGACAGACATTGTCGTCCATGAAGGTCACAACCTCCATGAATGGGTTAAGAACCATTATCCGAACAATATTGAATCCATAATCCCCACAGACCTGACCCTAAACTTACCCTCACTAGCCCAACACGACCCCTTCTATCACAATAAGCTGAAGAGAACTGTGATCTCAGAATTGGTCGAGCTGGGGCTCGTCTGCACCCAGTATTCCCCCTCGATGCGTCCCACCATGATCGATGTGGCCCATGAGATGGCTATTTTAAAGCAGGATATATCGAGGCTTGTGGTTGTTGACTCTTCCCCAACATTGCCAGATTCTTCTTCTGATTGTTAATTAATCATGTATAGTATAAAGCACGCGCTTGTATAGTTGAAAGCTAGCTAGTCTGCATTTGGTGGATGGTTTTTTTAATTCACCATTTGATTGTTGGGGTTTATAGTGTTTAAATTCTTTTCAGTTTTTAATTAGTTGATGGAGAGATCACTTTGGTTGATTCTTGGATTGTTATGTGATTATTTAATTAAGCCTGCGGATTAGTTTGATAATCACTCAATTAGGATATTAAAAAGTATTTGATTGGTAAATGGTAATGGTCTTAAGAAAACATATATGGGTTTGTTTAAGAACTTATTTTGGTTTTTCCTTGCTTTGTTTCTGTATATATCAAATTATTAATTTCATAAGGATAAAAAATACGAGATTATGGTAGGCTTAATCTTATCATCATGAGTTGTATTTAGGATCATCACAATTGTGTTTAGGTGGATTAGAGATTAATTATTGCATGAGATTATTCATTGCCGCACTCAATTGATTATTTTTAGATAAGATATTAAAGGTGATCTATGTTGAGCCAAGTAAATTAATAGATGAATCCTCAAATTAAATGTTTAAGTAGATTTATGAAGATTAATCTATGATTTCATTGTAAATCCATCCCAAATGTATATAAAGTGGTCATTAATCAATCACTTTCTATCATAAATTTAAACAACCATGACAAGCAGGGGTGATTTGAACTCCAGCTCAACCCGAACCTGAATTGAAAGATTGGGTTTCAGTTAAGATCCTAACCTAATTAATTTTTTTGGTTGGATTCGGGTTAACCCAACAATTTAAAATTGAATTGAAACTGACTCGCTAACCAGACATTGGGATTAAATCGACTTGATATAGACTCAAATTGATGAAATTGTAGCCCGAATAATTTTTTTTTGTCTTATGTTAATTAAAGGGTTTTGCGGGTCAAATTCGGGACAGCAAATTAAAGGCGAGTGGGTTCAGATCAAGTTGTTTCGGGTCGAGTCTATTTCAGGTCATACCCGAATTGACAACCCTAATCACAAGAAAAATAAAATGTATCATCCCCTGAATTAGCTCATAGATGGTAGATGATTCCATATATTCTTTTTAATGTTTCTTGAAAATGAAATCATTCTATCTTGAAAGTTATAATCTATATATTCATCGTAGACTCAGATTGATAGCGTTATAATTGATAGATGATTCATCAACAAAATTTGCATTTGACATGAATCTCGATGCAATCACCACGGATCTTGGAGCATTTATTGTGTAAAAAACATCCAAACTCCAATTAAAAATCATTTAAAGGTTTGATTTCAGCAAAATTACAGTCAAAATAAGTGGCTCGACGAGACAAACACAATGACACTGAAAGTTGGTCCAATACAAGTCAAATTAAGCTCAGATTGAGTCATTAAGCTATATTTGAAAGCTTTTAGTGCACAATTGGAAGGTCAAACGGATTCCAAATTAGAAATGTTTATGGTCAAATTGAGCGTCTTTACAAGACGAGTCAAATGAGTCCAACATCACTCAATTCAGACATTGTTAAAACACTCAAATATTTATAAGATATTGTTCGATCGAGGGAATCTTTCCAAGTTGTTCAATAATGTAGCTCAAATTTCTCTTTATTTGCAGAGACGCCTCTCTCATACTCTATAAATAAAACATTACCTCTTTCATGAAGGAGTACTGTTCACTCACTTTTGGTGAGGTCTACTTTTAATCCTAGAGTTTAGGATCTAGTTATAGGGTTTTCCTACTATCTTAGAAGCGTAGTGATGGAACCCACCTTGAGTTAAAATTCTAGCCATTTCTAAACTCGTCTTGTGAATTCCCACATGGGTGGTCCCAAGCTCTTGAATTCTTATTTGAAATGGCTAGGAAAAACATCTCAAGATTCAAGAATGAGTTCCCATAGGGAAAGGTAGGATGGTTAATATGTAAGTGAGGTTGATAAAATCCTTATCTTACTCGACAATATATGAGCGCAAAAAGGAAAAGGAAGCACTCGAGAGGTAAACCGCCAAAAAATAAAAATGACTAGATAATATCACCAATGACTACATCAATTTCACTCATATAAATAATTATAGATGTACATGTAAAGGAAAGCAGAAAGAAAAAAAAGGACATACATTAGTCCTACTCAAATGCCATAACATATATGAACATGCTAAAAAATAGGAAAAAAAAAATAGAATGTCGCTTGACGTCACCGTTCTCCTCCCCCTCGTCATTAGAGAACCCCTTCTTCAACCCGCTCTTAATATCACCACCATCGAACTATGAATGAGGGTCTTCCAAAGCTACGCTAGTGGTAAGTCCATTTATTTCTACCTCAGTCCGACAACGCACTGCTGGGGCTCCATTTTGGAAGCCTCAGAAGAATCCTTCCTCGAAGAATCATTTTCATTGCTCTTTCACCTCATCGTTAAGCATCCGTCTTTGAGCTTCCTGAAAATGATCTCAAAGGATGGAATTGAACTCAATCTAGCTTCTAAAGTCCTCCACAACTCTTAGCTCAACTCCAACAATGTCGATTTGCTTCTCAGACCTCCTTCTCAAGAGCTGACAACTTTGATCTCAGGGCCTTTGGGCTCTTGTTGCTTTGACTGAGCTAAGGTTGGCTCATGCCTTCACCAACTCCTCCCAAGTGCTCTTGAGATCCTGATGTTGCAATGAGAAAGAAGTCACTATCAAGGATAGCTTCATCATGTGCTCCATCAGTTAAGTTTCTAAGGTCACAACTTTCTCAACCCTGGAATTGTATCGACTCTTGTACTCGCCTTAGAGGAACTTGATCTTGATGAACTCAGAGTTCCAATATCTCAATGAAAGACTAAGCCCCAACTAGAGTCCCATCATTTTATCCATATGAAAAATTAGTTTGATGTCAAAGAGACGAAAGAAATATGTAGCAACAAATGATAAGAAAAACTGACAATGTCTTTCGCCACATGCAACGCAACGCATGAATGAGCCAATATATTCTCCAGGATGTGAATCTTTGAAAGAATGATGCTCTATTTTTGAGGAAGTATATCACAATCATTGCGTGCGATAGGAGCTACTTCAAAGGTGCTACAAGAGCCAACTCTGGGCATCTCTTCTCATATTTCTTCAACATCACTGCAGAAGATCGCTCAGAATGAAAGGAGAGTCTGGCCTTGAATAGGAATTCATTGCTCATTAATTCATGTACATATTATACCTCGAGCTATATCTTGTTGAAATCCTAAAATTTGAGCATTCGTAGTATTTTTTTTGGTGATCTGAGGAGAAATATGTACCTATTGCGTCTTCCACCTTTTTTTCATAAAATCTCCAATCATTTTGTGCAAGGGAAAATCTTAGAAACTAGTGTCTTATCCTTTGTGCAAAAATCCAATCGCTTGCTTTTGAAAGATACACAACCATGTGAGACACCAGTAATCCTCCCAGTCAAATTAAAATCTCAAGCATTAATTTAGCCTTGTGTTTTCTCTAAGAGGCGATAAGTTCGATGGCGATTGTCACTGCATAATAATAAAGTTGTGAGATACTAACTCCGATAACTTTTAGAATATCAATCAGTTCAGTTGTTGACGAAAGTTGTGAGCAGCCTAACAACGTTACCTCGTAAATGAGAATGTATCCAGGGGAAGTAGAGTAGGCTCGATTAGCCCGAGCGAAAATATTCACCACCATATCATTTAAGAAGTAAATTTTCTTTCGAAATAATATCAAATTAGCTTACAATAGAGCCAACTTCACCTCCTCGAGATTTTGAATCTTCCTTTAATTTTTAAGGAGGTCGGGTTCCCCTGACGTCGACTTCTCGTAAAGTAGAAAATTCCCTTTGGAAACTGTAATAAGTGCACAGAAAACTCCTTTTCAATGCCCAAATTTTTTTCTTCTCATTTCGGCATGAAAAATCCTCTCCAGAATGCACGACTAAGAGACTAGAAAATCCACTCCACAATACATAGATGGGAGATTGGAGATCTCCTCTGAAATGTATGGCTAGGAGATTCCAATTTTTATCCTCTTTCTGGCCTATTTATAGAATCCTATTTATAGAATTAAAATAGCAAAATAGCAAAAAAAAAAAAACATTAAAATTGTCCAATTTTTGTTTGTCCCTTGGATCCCCAAGTGAAAAATCTGATTTCGTGCAATCAAACTGTTCAAACGCAAGATCCACCTGTTTTCATACTTGCAGCATGGCACACCACCCCACACACATTGAATTGCTAACGTGGCTACTCTACTGCCATCCGGTTCAATGCCCGTAGCACTACAACATGTTGGATCATCCCATATTCAGCAGATCGCTGATGTGATAGCCCGTTATGCCAACCCGGCGTGAACCATGGTTATGCACAGTCTGTTAACTCGGGCTCACTTCTATGGGCCAGCATGCGAGACCTCATTCGCCAGCTCCATCGGGCATTGCAACCGGATTTGTGATTATGCATGACAAATTTGATACCACTCGTCCCTTGGGCCAGCAAACCAGGCACGACCGACTAGAACTAAGCGATAACTTGAATCTATTAGCCCGCAACATACCGAACCTACTGGAAAAAATAGAAGTATATATATGTGTGGAGGTCAAGAGACTCCAACTCACGATCTTAGAAAAGGTAAACCCCCATTATTCCAATCTGGCTGCACACTTCATTTAAACACACACACATACATACACGAGTAATTAAAAAGGAAGAAAAAAGAAAAAAAATGAATTTATGTATTTTAGAAAGATGAAGCTAGTATCACCAAAAAATAGATGGGAACTGATACATCATTAATAAACTTATCATTTGGCACAAATCATTAGGTGATCAACACATATCTCAAAGCATTTTTTAGTAAAAAAAACATTCCTAAAAATCATTCAAAACTCTGATTTCAACAAAATTACTGTCAAATTGATCGGCTCGAGAAGATGAACATGATGACACCAATGTTGCTCCAATTCTAGTCAAATAAAGCCCTGATAGAGTCATTCAACCATTTTTTGAAGCTTTTAGCACCTTATTGAAAAGTCAAATGAATTTCAAATCTAACAAGTTTATAGTCAAACCGATCTTCATCACTAAAACACTCAAATGTCTATGAAAATTTTTCCTATTGAGGGATTATCTTCTAGTCATTCAATGGTGTGATATGGATTTCTTTCTTATTTGCGGGGAGGTCTCTCAGAAACTCAATAAATAGAGTACTACCTCCTTCATGAATGGAGATCTAAAACTTAAACCAGAGGAAAACTAGAGCATTGAGGAGAATGAGCTAGGGTCAAGTGTTCTACATCGAAGATCCAGTAAATGATGCCAGCTCCTATAGCCGCCAACTAACCATCGCTTGTCGATTGTCGTCAACCACTATTTGTTGCACCCTGCTCATTGTAATGAGTCCCCTTGCTGAATAACAACGTGCACTACAAAATCTAGCCATACGTTGCAGAGTAACGAAATGCCCAACCGAGCAGTACATCATCCTGAACACCATGCAATGACACACCTTGAAAATGGTGTATAGAAGTTTCTGTAACTAATCCCAACTACATGCACTCCTGATTGTTGTGTAACAAACATTGTATCTCGAGGAATTGTGTAGCATTTTACCGTATGCGGCACAAGAACATATACCTGTACTCACCAACTCACTATAAATTATTTTCATTGGGCTATAAGCCTCGTGATATTTTCCCTATCTGAATTTAACACGTAAAACTTCTGGTATCTTTACATGTCACTTTAATTATTTGAATAGGCGATGAATTTTTATGCAATGCTAAGACGTTAAATATTCACATTATCTTCATGAATCTTCTGACGCACATCAATAGATTTTCTCATAGATGTCAGACATTAAACTGGAAGGTGATAGTGGGAGTAAAGCTTGCTAGTGATATCCGACATTGATGGTGGGTACCAAGAAAATAAAATCTTAAGTTTATACTATTGGCTAGTGATTTCCATAATAAAATCCAAACAATTCATGCCACTCTGCATTGATTATGTGATATTTTTCAAAAATGAAAAAAATAATAATGTTGTCATATGCCTAAAGTTTCTTTACATTCATATTTTTATGTCGAACTATATGTTTATTAAAAACAAAAAAAATAAAATAATCTTTTGCTAATTTTATAATTTTTTACTTTAAATATTTGTATTTGGTCGAATGAATTCTTAACCAAATCTATATTCTTATTAATTTATTTACTTTTGACGCCTTAATGAGGGTAAAGCTTTGCTTGTGATATCTTACATTATTGCTGTTGTTGTTTATTACGTAATCATTAAATTATGCCAAAATTCATAAGCTTATTTTTGGGGATGAGCGGGGGGGGGGGGGGGGGGGGGGAGGATAGGAGGAA